AAGTAACCTTTCAGCTCAGCTCTATTTACTGAGTTGGCTCTTGCTGCTTTTTTTTTTTTTTAACTTGCCTCCTCCTCCTCGTCCCCCTCCTACTCATTGTCTTCTTCCTCTACCTGCTCTTCCTCCTCCTCCTCTTCCTCTTCCTTTACCCTCTCTCTCATACTTACGTGCCTGGACACTTAAGACTTATGAATTTGTTGTTCAGGATCAATTCCAGGTTGATCCATTTATCCCAAGGTAGTCAGAAAGTCACGGTCAGCTTGGTCCATATAACACGTGATTTCTTTCCGCTAGAACACACCCCTTTCCTGTCCTCCTTTGAAATTTGAAATTTGACCACTATTATTTACTTCCTTTAGCCTAGCAAGTGCCTATCCTGTGGATGGCTCTCAGGAAAATTCACAAGGTCTATCATATTTAATTCTCACAAAAACTTTGTCAGAAAAGAGTTTATAATGTACTTTTAAACATGAGCAACAGGTTAAAATCTTTGTCCAGACCAGAACCACATTTCCAATAACTATATTAAAAGAGTAAAATTAATTGTAATAATATCTTTTATTTAACCTTGCTGATCCAAAATATTCTCATTCAAATAAGTGATCAACATAAAAATTACTGATAAGATATTTTGCATTTTTTCATACTAAATACTTGAAATGTTGTGCGTATTTTACATTTCTGTCACATTTCAATTTGGATTAGACATTTTACACTTAGGGGTCACATAGGCTAATAATTACTATATTGGACAGTGTGGATCTAAAGCATAAATCAGAGCATGAGATTCTTCTACCCAACCATCCAGTGTCTTATAGGAATCAACATAAAAGTTAATCTTTTTACCACAGCCTCCTCAACCCTACATGAGCTGGACCCTGCCTACCCCTCTGACTTTATGTCCTCCATTCACTATGTTCCAGCTGTTCTCTGTGCATGAAAACCCGTTCTCATCTTGGGGATTCACATTGGTATTCCTTTGCTTAGAACATTCTCTTAAAATCTTTGCAGGATTACCTCCTCCTGTTCGTTAATCAGCATTTAGCTACATTTTAACATCCTCCAAGAGTCCTTCACCAACTCTAAAGCTAGGGTGAGGGCAGCACCCCCAGCCCCTTTACCGAGTCGTCATCTGCAGCAGGGCCCCATTTTCTTCTCACAGCACTTACTGTTCTCCTAAATTACCTTATGTGTCCATCTCCTATCACTGGAAGTTAAGCTTCTGGAGGTGAAGGACTCTGTTTTGCTTGTTCAGAGCACTATTCCTAGAAGGTGGAACAGTAGCCTGTGTACATTAGATGCTGAAGAAGTATTTGTTACCAAATGAATGCCTGGGTTAATTAATCCCATGGGTCCCAGTCCGATTTTACAGTTGTGAGGTGTGTTTTGCCTTAAGTCACACTGCCTGGATTTGAAATGCTCCTTTTATTATTGCATCCTTTATAGAGAATTCAACGTCCCTTGGCTGAGTTGTCCGTTCGTTCCTTTCCAGGAGTTGAGAGTTTTCAGAGGAGAGCCTTGATGGCCTGGGTTCCTCCCTGGCCATTTTTTTCTTGGCACACGATCTTCTCACTTTCCTTCTCCCTCACTTAACTTCCCAAGTCATCTTCAAGGTGACACAGAACAGCCCTCCTCTTTTGGCCGTCCTCAGGATTTCCACTGTCTCTGTGAGCCACTCCACCTCTTCTGTCTCACTCTAATTTGGGCTTTCAGCTTCTTGCTGTTTTCTTCTGCCCACCTCAGTCCATCCTTCCACACCCATTTTCTGTCTTGTGAAGTCACCCAAGGGTTTCAGACGCTGGACTTCCTACTCACATATCCAGGTTCAAATCTTGTTACCTGGATAGCCTTTTCATTGAGAGTTACCTTTCATGAGCTGCTGTTTGTAATCTGTAAAGTAGATATTATTACTTCCCCTCATAGTGTTATTGTGAGTATTAAATGAGATAGTATATGAAAATTATTTTGAAATACACTGGCCCACAATAAGTGCATAAGGCAAATTAACCATCATAGCTCTCACTTTTTATCTTTCTATCTATATTCCCCCTCTTGCTCCTAACTCCAGTTTTCCATCCCCTTTCCTCTTGGTGTTGTTGATGATATGGGATAAAGATGTCAAAATTATAGCTGTAGGCATGACAAGAAGCCTAATTTGTCCCAGTGGGATGTGTAATTTTTTGAAGAAAAGACCACTGGTTTGGACTCCAACTGTTATTTACTTACTGTTTGACCTTGGACAGATTATTATTATTATTGGGGCTTTTGTTTTTGGTACCAGGGATTGAACTCGGGACCTTGTACTTGTGAGGCAGGCGCTAGAACCCCTGAGCTAAATCCCTGGCCCTGGACAAATTATTTTGCCTGTCTTTGGGTGTTTTGTCTCTGTAATGGAAATAATAATATATCTTCTCCCAAAAGGCCACTGTGTGATGTGACACACACACACATGCACGCGCGCACACACACACACAGATACACATCCATATAGGCATAGGGGTAGTGCCTGATAGACTATCAATATCCATTTCATCTTCTTTTAAAAATTATCTAACAAAAAAGGAATACCAGTTTTGAGATTTAATGTAATTTAATCTGTAAGGAAAGACAGTTTTCCTTCCTTGGGAGAAATTTGAGAGAATTCATACAAGCACCTGAGTTAATTGAGACCCCCCGTGTCCATGAGGTGCAAAAGCGTTTTCAGGGAGGATGTTAAACCTTGGAGGAAGCTCATCTAAGTTTCAAGACTCTGCAGCCCCCTGGTGGCCATTGATTTCAGCTGCTGATTCATAGTCATTGACGAATTACTGAGTCAATTTGCCTTTGAACAAGACCTACAGAGAGAAATAAAGATAGAGTGGTGAATGAAAAGGCTGGCATTTTAGTCTTTTTCATATTCCAAATAGAAAGTTATTTTTTTATCAGTGTGTATGCCAGCAAAGTCTGATGAAAATTTGAAAATACATGTGCACACACAAGGAAACTATTAACCTCCAAACTCTTCTTCGTCTTTTTCTTTTTGTTCCTCCCTCCTGTCCTTCACCAAAAAAGGAGCATCCTTTCTTCTCTTTGGGTCAGATAAATCTTTGCCCTTGAACTTGTAAAGTCAGTATATTCTCTGAGTTCCAGGCAGAGGCCAGATGCTTGTCCAACTGTGATGCTTGTCAAATTGCAAATACTGTGGCAAGCGTAAAGCCACAAGCATGTCATTCCAAGAAGCCATATCTGTTGTTATTAGGTTTTCCACTAGCCAAAGGGTAGGCCACAGTACTGGAAAGAGCCCAGGTCCTGAAGAGCAGAGATTCCACGGAGGGCCTCTGTGCGGCGGTGGGCATGCTACTGAGCGAGGGATATTCCTCCCACACTGCCCGATTCTGAGCATGCCCCTCGGCTACCTGTCAGGCTGTGAGCTCTAGGGAGGATCTTGCCTTATTCTTAGCTCCTAGAGTTAGCACAAGGTCTGACAGTCAACCTTTGAGAAGGAACTGAGGGATTCATGTGAACCGAAGACTGTAGTTTTATCTGTGAACCCAGTGAGCTGATTGCTATAAACACAGCCGGCATCTGAGTTCTGTGTTGGCAGCTCTCTAGAGACAAAAGGAAAGGAAGACCAGAAGTAGAGCCCTCACTTTGCAAGTGAGGGGGAAAAAGCCTGGGGTTCTGAACTGTCACCCCAAGACGGCAAGCAGCAGTGACCCATCATCCCATCATTATTCCTTCCAGCTAAGGGACCTCTGTATCTCCTTGGCCTGTTAATGGAGAGGGGGTCCTGAGTTACATAGGACTGCATGACCTAGGGAGTAACAAATAGTCTGCGACTCAGTTTCCTCATCTGTAAAATTAGAATTAAAAATATTTACAATGGGCTTGGGTTGTAGTTCAGCGAGTGTTTGTGTAGCACACAGGAGGCTGTGGGTTCGATCCCCAGCACCATTTACCTTCCAGACCCTAGAGGAGGTGACGCATGTTCAGACACTATTCTGAAAAACGAGGTGACTGACAGCGGTCTGAAATGTTATTTTTTTGTGGCTGAAGAACTACTCTGCGAGGCCGCGGCCAATCCCCGCCCCTCTCCACTTCCCCACCGCCAACTTTTCCTGGTGCGTGGATGGCAGTTTCCAAAGATTCCCAGAAATGCTTCAAATGCCGGGAGAGCCAGAGGAGATTCTGCTTCAGGGAGCCGATCAAGCTATCCTCGGGTTTGGCAATGTGGCGCTGCCACCTCTACCCCTTTCCTTTGCTTTGTCTCCTTTTATTCTGGAACCTGATTTTTAAAAATCAGAGCCGTTTAATCTGCTAAACGAATAATTATCCTGAATGCTTAATTGCAAAGTCCTCCTTCAGTTCTCCCATTTGTTCAAAATCCGCTTCTGTTCACACACCAGCTTAAATAGGGCAGAGAGTCTGGAGGAAGGGAGGAAAGAGAGGGACCGACCGAGGTAGGGCGGGCCGGGAGCAGTGCTTTTCTCAATGAATACCGAGGCCTCTGCAGATTTGCATAGAGCCGACCTCGCCGCGTCATTGGCTGACGCGCTCAGGCGGGGCGGGGCGGGCCTGGGTGGGCGCGGAGTTGGCGCGCGAGCCCCGCCCCCGCCGCGGCTCCCGCCCCCTCCGGTGCGCGCTCGCGGCTCTGCCAGCTGCAAGTGGCGGGCGCCGGGCAGATGCGATCCAGAGGCTCCAGGGGCGGCAGCGGCGGTGTCGGCTGGCAGCCCCCGCTGCCGCTAGCGGGGGTCCGCGGGGCCCCGGACGCCTTCCCACTGCCTCGTGGCCCAAGACCCGCAGCCGCCGACGCGCAGCTAGGTGAGGAGAGGGCGAGACTTCCGGCTTCCCTGCCCTGAGCGCTTTCCCTCGGCTGCTCCTCTGGGGCTGCCCCGCTGCCCGCGAGAGGACTCGGGGCCCAGGCGCGGGCGGCAGCCAGGACGCTGCGAACTCGCGCCGGCGGCTGCCGGAGCCTCCTCCCTGCGGCCCGGGGCTCGCACGCACGCCCGCCCCGAAGTTCCGCGGGCGGCGCGGGCCCGAGACTTCCCGCCGCGGAGCTCGCCTGGGGGCGCCTAGAGGCGGCGCGTCCCGCGGTTCGAGCCCGGACCCGGGACAGGAGATCGGGGAGCGGAGCAACCGCAGGAGGCGGCCGGGGCCGCGCGCACCTGTTCCGAGCCGCGGCTCCCAGCCTGGAAAGTTGCGGCGGGTCCGAGGCGGCCTGGAGAGCGGCGGACCCCAGCCCGGGCCGCCTCCCTCCCGCGCAGCAGTTTCGCTCGGGCGCTGGGCTTGGCGAGTGGGGCGCGGGGTCCAACGCTGAGCCCCGCCAGTTCCGGGGTCTCGCACGCGCGTCCCCTGCAGGCCGCAGCCCGGGAAGAGCGAACGAAGCGAGCGCCCGCGCAGAGCCGGGGACCGAGGAGGGAGCCGCTCGGGACCTCTCGGACCCTGCCGTCCGCGGGGAAGCTGAGGGCGAGGCTGGGCCCGGGAAGCGTGAGCCTCGTACGAGCAGCCCTGCCCCAGCGGCATGGGCGCCCTCGGGCTCCTGTGGCTCCTGCTGCTCCTATCGGCGGCCGCCCGGGGCTCCGGCCAGCGCGCGGGGTCCCCGGCCGCAGGGCCGCCACTGCAGCCCCGGGAGCCGCTCAGCTACTCGCGCCTGCAGAGGAAGAGTCTGGCGGTGGACTTCGTGGTGCCCTCGCTCTTCCGCGTCTACGCCCGCGACCTGCTGCTGCCGCCGCCGCCGCCCCCCGCGGGGCCCAGGACTGGCCGGCCCGAGGCGCGCGGCTGGCTGGCCTTGGACTGCGCCCCGCTGCTCAGGCTTCTGGGGCCGCTGCCCGGGCTCCCCCGGACAGCAGGCCACCCCTCGCCGTCCCCCGCCGCGGCGCCGGCGCTGTCCAGGGTGCTGAAGGGCGGCTCAGTCCGTAAACTCCGGCGCGCCAAGCAGCTGGTGCTGGAGCTGGGCGAGGAGGCGATCCTGGAGGGCTGTGTCGGGCCTCCAGAGGGAGCGGCTGCCGGACTGCTCCAGTTCAACCTCAGCGAGCTGTTCAGCTGGTGGATTCACCACGGCGAAGGGCGACTGAGAATCCGCCTAATGCCCGAGAAGAAGGCGTCGGAACTGGGCAGAGTGGGGAGGCTGTCCTCGGCGATCCGCGCCTCCCAGCCCCGCCTTCTCTTCCAGATCTACCGGACCGGTGAGCAGCTCCCGCTGGAGCGCGTTGGGATTTGCATTTTTACTCACGCGGATTTGCAACCACTGTTAAGGAGCCCCTATTCTTGCCTTTCCAAAGCCTCAGCTTCTTAATCCTGTTTCTTCATTCCTAGAGTTAGACCAAGTTTTCTCATTTTGATCCTGAGCACGGTCACTCCCTGAGGGCCTTCCTTTCTTTTTAGCAACCAAGTTGGGAAAAAAGTTTCCTGCTCTTGGTGCAATTCCTTCCTTTGTGGACTTGCAAAGGATCCAAACCAAAGCTCTGGCCCCTAGAATTGTTGAAATGCTCCTATTACTTTCAAGTTCCAACTTAGTACAGTACAAGATAAAACTATCTTCCCTCTTCCCTCTCCCTTGTCCCTCCTCCTGGCCACCACATATTTGGAGAATGTAGTATCATTTCTTAGGGAATATAGAATTCCTCTTTATATTGAATCCCACACAATGGCAGCCCTTTCCCAATTGCCCAGGAATTGCCTCTTCTTTTGTTGACCCATTCTGCTATCCTTCCCCCTCTCTTGTCTTCTTTGCACTCAGATTCTCAATCTCCTTAGATGTCTTGGGAGAGCCCCAAAGGACTCATGGAACAAGGAAGAGACATGGTGAGAAGGAAGAAAGCTGTAAAAATTGTCTCGCTCTGGGGAAGTCCCTGTAAAGCCAGGGGGAAACAATAGTTGGCTTCTCTGGTTTTCTTTTCCTTCTCCCCTCCTCCTTTTGCCTCCTGTACTTAGCTTGGATGACTGCAACAGCAGCTCTTGGTGATAGTCTCTGCCAGGCCTGTTTCACTGCAGATCTCTCTGCTGGAGATCCTGAAATGAGGTTTCTGTTTCATTTACTCCCGCATTTCTTGCCATATTCACTGAGTTGGGGGTGTGTGCACAGGCACTTATTTCTAACTCTTCCCATAGTATCCTTTCACTGGGAAACCAGGTGGTTTTGAATGGATGTTTCTCTTGTAAGACTTCTGGGGAAGGACTCGTGAATAAAATATGCAATGTAAATGAATTAGAGAAACGTAAGAGAAATCATGTTTTTTAAAAAGCCTACAGTAATTCCATTGAGCAAACCCAGCTTCTTTTCTATCATTCTCATCATCAGAAATAAATGAAATTCTTATGCTCCACTGGTTACTAATGTCTAATATTAATTGGATAGGAAGCATTGAAAAAGGTCCATTGTAGAGCTACAAGTATTTCTCATGCTTGTTCCAACACATACATACTCCCACACACATCCAAGACTCTTGTGCAGCAGAAATATTGAGAAGTGGATGTTCCCCAGTCATTGCACAGAAAATATGCTAGTTTGTAGTCTCCAAGGAAAACAGCATGGCTGCCTATTTCAGCCCTGGCATTAGTGGCATTAGCACTTAAAATGACCCTTTGTAATCAATGCTGGAATTTATATAGTTCATACTAAAGGACAGGGCCTGATGAGTTTGATAGGGCCAACTTTGTTGTCCTACAAAGGACATTGTTGATAGGCTGATCATTGTTGTCCTACAAAGGATAGTTTTGTAAAGAACAGCTGGGCTTTAATGTCATTGTGGCTTCTGTGGTTTATACATGAAACATTCTCTTTTAGTACCCAACCTTTTTGTAATAAATATAGAAGTCACTTCTTTGTAAATTCTGATTTTCTTCCACTTTTATGTCTTTGAGCATCTCTGGAGTTTCTCCATCATCTCTTGTTAAAGACCATAGGATCCAACACTATCAGCTATTGCCACATGCTGGTAACAGAAAACAGAGGTCCTTAACTTGCCAGCCAAAAGCAGGTAGGTTGCAAGAAGCTACCAGTCACAAAGCATAATGGATTTGAAGAATATAATACTCCAGTCTGCTTCTCCATGGGGACTTGAAGCTGCTGAGCCGGGCAACTCCATATAGAAAGGAGTGTCCTCCAGTAGCTCCTCTGCTATTGGCTATAGGGAAGTCATGAACATCCCAAGTCCTCCTTAGTTGCACAGTCCATTTGGCAGCTGAACCAAGCTCTTATGCATCATTTGACACATCTAGCAATGCTGTTTTCAGAAAGAGCCAGGATTCTGCCATTAAAAGGCTAGAAATTTTGGCCAAGCATTTTTCAACAGGATTGGGATCAAATGGTTATTGATGGGATCAAATAAGACACTAAGTGTAACTGGATGAGCTCCCTGTGACCTCCAGAGAGACAGACAGCTTATTGAAAAGCACTTCAGGCCTTGTGGTGATCACACTTGGAACAGGCCGGTTTCTCCTGTTACTGAGGACATGTACTATCTGCAGTTATACAGCTGGCCATGCAGGGCTAGGCTTTTGCCTTACAAATGCCTCCAGCCTCGTTCAGTTTCCATTGCAGAACTTCCCATGTAGCAGACACCCTACTCTATTATGTTCCATGTTTGGGGGAACATATATTATTATTGTTTCATTCATTTTCTTATATGAAAATTCAAGCTTAGGTTCTGCCACTTGGATTGATTTTGCTATTTATCATCTTTGGGGAAATTGGATTATTCTTTTTATATTGGCTCTGATTTGTAGATAGGGTATAAAACTCTTCTGTGGCATAGGATCTTCATTATACAAAAGAGAAGTAGGCAAAATTCAGCTACTTCTTCCTGCTTTTGCCCAAGGGGCTGGCAGTCTGATCTGGAAGACAACAATCATGCTGATGGGGCTATTTGTGGGGAGCAAAGATGGAGATGGCCATTCTGGCATCTTTTGTAGAGAGGATCCTACAGCACCCCATTTGCCTCAGACTGAAGTAGCTTCCTAAACCTGAATAGGACCATGATGGAGCACATGGCAAAATGGAAAAGCACCCAGTTAGGACAAAGGAAAACCTTTGTATTGCTTATGGATTTGGGCTGTCTGGAAGGACAAAAGAATGCCAGAAAGGCCTTATATTGAATGACATGCATACGGTTTTCCCCTTCAGGTTGCTGTGAATTGATAAATAGAATAAGCATTTCAAAATCTTCAGCAGTTCCCCTGAGCACCCATTCATAGAGAAGGGGTAGAGAGGTAGTTGCTGGGATTGCATGGATGGTGATGTGTCATCTTGATGCAGCCCAAATCATATAAAAGATGTCTTCCTGAAGGCTAGCACATTTCCCATTCCTCTGGTTTATATTCTGGTTTGATGTTTTGAGATCTGCTTCTACCATTCCCCACTCAGAGTCCTAGAGGATGTCACAGGGGTAGGAGGGCCTGTTTCCCTATAAGCACTCACTGCCCACCACAGGAAAGGGGGTGCATGACTTGGGATTTTACATACACGAGGGGTCTAAGCAACTTAAAGTAGATGTATGCAATGCAATAGACTGGAACCTTGACCTCACGTATCTGTCAGTCCCTTCGCCTTTCCTTCTAGAGAGGACAGGGAAAGTAAGGGAAGATCTAGAGGAAATTGGAACTCCCAGAAGGGATAACAGTTATTGGAGGTGAATTGGGAGTGTTGGAACTAATCCAGAGAAGAGCAGAAAGCTGATTTAAGAGTTGAAGGGACTGATTTATGATGAAAGATGAAAAGAATTAAATATATATGGCTGGGCTAAGTGGTGATGAAGGGAAAGCCATGGCAACAATCTACAAATCTCTGAGGAGGGAGACTGGCAGTGAAGGAGAGGGGTTATTTAGTGTGGCCCGTTGAAGTAATAAGATGATACTTGGAGAAGGAAACTTCAGGTTAGATATCAAGGAAGCTTATTTTCTGAAACTGATATTCCTCAGAGTATGGAATGGAATTCTAAGCAAGCAGGGAGTCAGGTGAGATGTGGGTCAGACGAGCAGGATCATTCATAATTAAAATGCTCTATATTTTCAAATGCCAAGAAGCCATGACAAGCAGGAGAGCTGGGATGGGAATGGAGGAGGAATCAGGATCTTTCTGGATATAAGTTGAGAGTACTGGGGCATTGGTATTTCCTGGGGAAAAAAAAAGAATTGCATATGCATTTTTGAAGTTGGCGGGAAACACAAGAATATTGCTAGTAGTGAGGGGTAGTAGTGCGCAACTGTAATCCAGGATTCTGGGACACTGAGGCAGGAGGACTGCAAGTTTGAGCCCAGCCTGGGCAATTTAGTGACACAGTAAGATCTCGCCTCAAAATAAAAAAATAAAAAAGGCTGTGATATAGCTCAGTGCAAAGGCCTTGAGTTAAATCAGTAGAACTGCCAAATAAATAAATAAATAAATAAATAAAGTAAGTAAGTAAGTAAGTTAGTAAAAAAAATTGAAATTACTAGATTTATCCTTCCTTACCCCCATATTAAGCACAGAGTTTTTCTCTGGGGTTTGAACTGTGTCACACGCACACGCGCGTGTGTGGAGGGTGCATTCACTGAGAAATCAGGTGTCTAAGATACAGCTATAGATGGAAGGATGAGTCATTGGGCAGAGCAGAAGGTATCTCAGGTGATGAGAAGATGAGATCACTTTTGGACTTGGTGGACTCCTACTGACTACTTGAAAATTCTTTGAAATGTTGAGAATATACACGGCTCTTAGATGAAGTTCATCCACATCCAATTTAACATTTCACAGATATATAAAAGAGAAAAAGGCATATGAAGGGCTTGTGTGGCTAGTGCAGGAGGAGAATGCTATCATCAATAAAAATGAATATCTTCATAAGGAAGTTGGTCTGCTAGAGGTCAGGAGGGACTGGGCCAAAGGCAGAAGAAGAAGAGGGAGAAAGTTCAGCCAGCAGAAGCTGCAGTCTGCTCCCCCCCCACCCCCTTTATGAGAATTTGGCCAACCTGAACCTTAAATGGCATTTTGCCCTCTTTTGTAACCATTATTGATGTCCTATTACAAATGTATGGACTTTTATAATTTATAAAACACTTTCCGATTTATTATTTTTATAATCCTATGGTAGGCAGGGCAAGCATCTGCTTTGTTGTGTAAGTGGACTCACCAGACTCCAACTGTTTGATAACACTTCTTCCAGGGTCATACAGGTACAAAGCAGTAACCTGGCAACTTTCTTTTTTG